TCAACAAATATTCCAAAGGCCGTAGTTGTAGTAGATAAAAGTCTCATGTTAAATAAATAAATTAACAATATCAAAACATGAGACTTATATCTACTACAAGATGATCAAAGATCGTAAAGCCCTCTTAACAATTAGAATTATGGCTCTCAGATATTCTCACAAGTTAGCAAAATGATTATAAATTAAACCAAAATCCTCTGGATATTTTTCCAAGCCTCAAGGCTAATCAGGTTTTTTTTGCTGAAGATCTCCAACTGACAAACAATTCGAATTCCATCTCTCAGATATTCTCACAAGATAGAAAGTTAATAAAAAAAATAATTCCAAAGATCTCCAGAAGATCAATGATCTCCATAAAGTCCTCTGGATATTTTTCCATCACTTCAGGTTAATCAAGTTTTTTTAAGATCTCCAACTGTACAACAACTCAAATGACATCTCTCAAATATTTTCAAAAGGTAGCAAAATGATCAAACATTATTTCAAAAGCCGTTAGACGATCAAAGATCTTCGTAAAGCGTTCTGGATATTTTTCCAAGACTTCAGGTTAAACAGATTTTCATTCTGAAGATCTTCAACAATTCAAATTAAATTTCCAGAGACTCACAAAATAGAAAGTTAATCAAAAATAATTCCAAATTTTTAGTGACTTGGTCACTTTTTTCAAGCCAGTCACCAGTGTTGGAAAAATATCAAAAAATCAAACCTAACCAGTGCCCAAGATCACCCTTGATTTTCGTAGACAGAAATCAACAAGCAACATCTGCGGTTGATTTCGCAAGCTGTGATATCGCAGCTCGGAATATCAAGCTAACAAAACTCACCAACTGCAAATCTCACCAAACTGTGGTGAGATTGAGTTTAATGATTATTGCTATACACCCGAATGCAACCGAATCTTCCATAACGGCTGGCAGCAGTCATCGGTGAAGATTAAAAAGAGATAGCAAACTATACTTTCTCTTACCAAGAAAACGATGTGGAACGGAATAATTTCTGTGTCGAGTCAGCTCTCAGCTTGATTTTTGCGCGTTGTGAATAGTCTCGCAATATCAAAGGAGCTTGTAAAATCAATATCAAGCATGATAATCGGTTCCAATATCACGCGTGATATTGAGAGCGTATGAGAGCGGAAAAATATTATTTGACTGATGATTTAGCCAACACTGCCAGTCACTAAAAAGCGAGGGGGGCGACACATCTAAATCTCATGTTTAGATGCTCAACAAATCTCACACTAGCGAATCAATCTTCGAAAAATCTACTTTCATTTGTCGCATCTACTTGCATCGCGCATCATCTTTTTGCAGGAAATCATCAGAATCGTCATTAATCTTCTTTCTATCTACTCAGCGTGCGCGCAGCTAGTCACAGCAAAACACAATCTTTTCTGCATCGTAGATAGAGTCGTCCCCCTCGCTAAAAAGTCCCTTTTTTTTAAAGCCAATTAACTAAAGTCACTTTTTCTTCTCATCAGTCACTATTTTCAACTTTTTAGCGTGAATTCATTTCAAGATTGATCATTCTTTGCTTTATGGCGTTTAATCGTCTTTCTATGTCTACTCATTTTTGTAAATAAAATTAGCTGAGTTTCCCAGGTTTTTCGAGTACTCTAATGGATAAATTCCTGGTTTATAATAAAAAAGCTGTTTGCTGTTTATGCTTTTTTGAAGGATCAAAAACAACAACAATTTATCCAATCCCCACAAATTTCTTCGATTTCTTCTCATAATTTGTTTGGCGAACTCTCCTGAATTTATTTTCCGAATTCCTTTGAAGATGTTCCGGAGTTATTCTCAGATTTAGTTGTAATCCTCCTTTTAGTATTTTCAAAAAGATTCCAAGGACTTATGCTCCAGATTCGTTTTCTCCTACAAACACAAAATTATCCTCAGAAGACCGTTGGAATTTTGCTCTGATGGAGTTGTGCTCCTCAGAAATTTTCAGAGTTTTCATTAAAGATTTAATTTAATTGAGGGTTTCTTGAAATTCTACTTAAAACTATCAAGCTTCACAAGAAATCTAAAACACCTCAGAATTACCTTAAAAGCAGATTGCATTTAATGTTTTTTTCTGAAAGTTTTTTTTTCCAGAACCCTCTTGAAATGGGGTCATTAGAAATTATATTAAAATTCCACGAGCTTTTAAAACTGTGCATAGATTTTGAGTCCAGATTCTTGAAAATTTCTAGATTTTAAGTGCAGAACTAGTTCAAATTTAAAATTTCTAGGAAATATGCATGTTAAAAAAACATTTCAAGCCTCTGTTTTTTTTTTTTTAGTTACTGAATATTAGTCTACTGTGGATCTATAAAGTTCAAAGTGTGAATGAAAATAACGAGAAAATTGAAAAGCTTGTATTTTAAAATTCAGTATTTTCTTTCAAATATCCCAAGTAAGAAAATTATTAAATTCTCTCAGCCTTCCAGCTTAAGAAAAAATAAAATTTCTTGAGGATTCCCGGTTTTCCAGGTTTTTGCAGTTAGTAGACACCCTGACTAATACCATGGGTTTGGCCATAAACTTTCTATTGGATCTTTCGCTTTAAAGGTTCATATCGTACATAATTGTTTACGAGATACTTATTGAATCTGTCTAAAACAACTAACATTTCTTCACTAGTTTTGATAGCAGTGATCGCTACCAGCCCTGGGAACAGCGTTCCAATTAAGGGGCTGTTCATTAACTATGTAGACAGTTTTTTTTGTAATCGTGAGCCCCCTCCCCCGCGTAGGCAATTGTTCATACATTTTTTTAAAATTTGTATTGGCCGTGGATAATTGTCACCCCTCCCCCTAAACTGTCTACGTAGTTTATGAACTGCCTCTTAATGGAGGACGAATTTTCAAAAAAAAAACAAACAATAATCACAATGTAATATTTTTCTAGCAAAATATTGGTTGAAAGCTATAAGATCGACGTATAAAAGTGGTATGCAGATCGTATATTTATTTAATAATTAATATCTCGATTACTTTTACGAGGGGAAGTATCAGCGTTTGAAAACAATGTATTTGATCGTCGATTTGGCGTAACTGATTGCCTATGCATGTTAATACCACTAACAGGTAGGGGGAAATTTCCCCTATCTGATGATAGTGTAAGTATGCGTAGGTGAGCTACCAGTTACGCCACATCGACGATCAAATAATTTTTTTTACAAAAACTGATACGTCCCTTCGAAAAAGTAATCGAGATATATTGCCTCAGTTTCTCCACTACTGGCTCATCCACCCAGTGTTTTCGAAAAAAACATGATGGCTTAGTATAAGTTTCATGAAAAGATGGATTTTACGTACTGTTGACCTTCGGGGAAAAATACCGTTCCGCCGGAGTCACGGTGCACTTCTCCGTGTGCTCATCATTAGCTTCTCTATGTCTTCTTCTTCTTCTTCTTCTTCTTCGCATTTCAAGCTTATTGCATATCGCATATTAGCTTATTGCGTGCTCGCAACTTAGTGTTCTAAGATGCACTTCCACAGTTATTAATTTAGAGCTTTCGATGCCTGTACCATTTTTGCATTGGTATAATTGTGTGGCAAGTCCAATCATACTTCTATGCGCAGGGAAGTCGAGAAATTTTCCAACCCGAAAAATTCCTAGACCGGACCGGGAATCGAACCCAGCCACCTCCAGCATGGTCTTGCTTTGTAGCTTCGCCTTTACCGGCTGAGCTAAGGGAGGCTTCTCTATGTAATATAATGTGAATTAGTTCTGGTAGCAAAAGTTGCTTTTTTTATTCGAAATCAAATGCAAAGCACTAGGAATAGTTTCATGAAATTTGAATTATTACGGATGTGCCGTGTCTTCCGGAATATCTGCTTGTCACCTACTAGAATCCATCCTATACTAGCACCAAAAGGTAGGTAACTATTTCCTCAACTATTGTACCCCAAGAAGTTATCTTTTCAAATTACTTACTATGATTACTTTTTTATGAATTGAGAGTTCAAAGATTCAGTTATTATAATACGTTTATTTATTCACAAATTACATCATCATCCGTTTCGATCAGATGATTAAACTCATCGATCGATTGGTTCACTCTCAAGATGAACTCCACTTCTAGAGATCTTGCGACTTGCTCTGGAAGCATCTCCAATCTATCTCCAATGTATTTGCAGAAACTCTCGTGCCTTGATTTTTTGGCCGACCACCCTTCCACACGCTGTTCGACTTTTTCCAGAATACATTGGAAATGTTCGTCTGTGTCCAGGGCTTGCTTCCGGCGTCGTGAAGACTTTGCGGTCGGGGTAACCGAGGGAGTGGTTATGTTAAGGCCGAGGTTAAGGCTACTTTCACTGTCACTGTTTATATGTTCAGTATCCTGTCCATGACCTTCTTCGAATACACTTTTGTCCTGGTAGTTGGAGGAAGTCCTGAAATTTTGAAAAAATTATTTGGGTAAATAAATACTACAGATAGAAAAAAACAATTCATCTTACGGTCGAGCTTCAGTGTGGGACTGAAGAAACTTCAGTTCCTCGAAAAATGGCCAGGAGGAAGTGGATGAGTCTTCACCAGCGCCAGATCGCGACTGTTCCACCAACCTCCTTGCTTCCCTCACGAACCGATCTCTCAGACTTCTCCAGCGTTTTTTAGCCGCATCCACTGAAAGGAGATGAAGTAATAAATTTTATGTTCAAGCAGGAAGCAAATATAACACTCACCGTTAGTATTCAGCTCGGCTGCAATTGAATTCCAGGCTTTTTCTTTTTTTATATTATTTCTATAATCTTTTGAGGCCTTTGCGTACAGGGCAGGGTTCTCCTTGATTAAAATAATTAACTTTTCTTCCATTTTCTTCCATGTATTCAAATCAACACGGCACAAAATACGCTTCTGATTACGCTGATGTCAAGAAAAAGCATCACGACGCTGCGTCAATTTTGAAAATTTTCAAAATTTAGCACAGCGTCAGCGTTTTAGTACTGGCGCGCAGTGAGCGCAACGCATCATTGTGGGTTGTTAAACTGAATAGCGTTGGCTCAAACCGAGCTGTCAGTTGACGCTGACGGTGACGGTGACGGTGACGGAATATTGTGGGTGGCCCTTAATTGCCAGCGCACGAACGAAATCTAGTAGTCATAAAGTCAATGTTCAAGTTATCATTTCTTTTTCAAAGTTGACATCTCTTATGTCGTTTTCGTTTTTGCGGTGTAGCTACACCGGTGCTACACTGCCGTACACCGACATATTTTAGGGTGTAGATATAGGATGCACCTTTGTTTACAAACAAATGATGTTGGGCTGTCAAAGACTCGCACTTATTCCTGCTTACACTACACCAGTGCTACACCGCAAAAACGAAAACGACATTAAAAAAGTTACCATTTTTGAGTTCCATGTAGAGTTCACGATTATTCATAATCACTTTTGGTTCCACCGTATTCCAGTTTTCCATAAACGGTTTCGCTGTCGGTTGGAGTTTTTGGAAATCAATACGGATCTGCAAAGTTGTAACATTTGTCTAAACGGAACAATATTTTCAAAAAACACTTGATCATTTACCAAATCTCCATCGTAGGCCGTTATAACAGGACAATCTTTTGCAAACGAAAAAAAGTTTTCCTCGAACCGGTATTTCTGTCGTCTCTCAAACGTTTTGTTCCACAGATCGATCACATGGGATTTTGTCTGCTGGTTTGGTACAATGAATCGTAGCTTACCTTCCTAATTAAAAAAGTACTATCATAAATGTAATCTTGCAATTATATTACAGATACTTACGGCTTCAACCAAATTGATTTCGGTCTCCAGATTGCTTTCATGAACTGCTTCTTGAGATTTTACTATGCGAGGATGACGCTTTGATGCTCGGTCAACGGATGTCCTAGCAAGGTACTCCATCCTGTAATGGATCCGGCCTGCGTGACGATTTGTACCTCGGGCATGGGGATGGAACCATAAAGCCTACGAAAGGAATTTAAATGCAATTGTTAAACGGCATTACTTAAATCACCACTTAGATGCTTATTCACCTGCGGAGTGTCAGAGGAGTTAGCTGCCAGTGTAGGATAAGACCGTACCAGGGACACAGCTATTTGATTTTTTTTATAAAAATTGCTTGGACGGCTGCAACGAAAATAAATCTCAATTGATAATTGTTGATTTTTTTTTTAAATGAAAGCAGCATGCACAACTTGCTATTTAAATGAAGATAATTTATAATAAGTTACGGTTTGATGGAGAAAACAACAAGCTACAAGATAACACTAAATATACGCAAGTAATACGGCTAGCACCAATCTCAGCGTTAGTACTTCGTGCTAATAGCATAGTTCCTCTTGCCGTAGAGTGCTGTCACATATGATGTGTTGGTTATCGAAAGTTAGTTGATTTTGCGATTTGATGTTATCGTTGGCTTGTTGCTTTCGCAACATAACCAATATAAAGATGAGCAATCAAAACTTTACTTACCAACCGTAAAGTGCTTTCAAACAGTCACAAAGTATGTTACAGATCTGCTTAATCATCGTCTCCTTAGGCTTGGTCTGTTCTTTAAGGACCTCCATGATTGCAAGACCATTTTCTGTCATTTGGAGAACGCAGTCGATATCAATTGTCTGAAATGGTATCGTTAGTTAGTACAGAATGCATATTTTAAGACAATTTATCCAAAACCTTACCTCATCAAGGCATATTCCTTGATATGGATTATCAGAGTCAGTAGGAGCAGATGGAGCTTGAAAACTGGCATCTTGTGTAGCGTGATCCTTATTTTGAAATAATTCTTCGTCAATATACTCTACTGCAACTTCTCGGTATTCGTGTTGCAATCGCTGAATCAGCTTAATCATCTTTGTTGTAAGGTTTAATCTAATGAAATCTTTATCATCTAACTGTAGGAATGTTTCTAGATCGTCGATTTCTTCTCGCTCTAAATAAAAATAGACGTCAGTGAATAAGCAAAACAATCTCTAGAGCGGTGATGAACGAAAATTATACTTTTAATAATCACGGTTGTAAAATCGTCTAGAAATATATTTTTTGTTGCAGCTGTACGGCGACCAAAAGGAATACAAAGTATGAGTAAAGCATAGTTGTGAGTAAAGTAATTGCTGGCCATCCAATACTTGCTATAGCATACAGTTTCCATCAACCGCAACAAAAAGTACATTTTTCCATCAATAACAGCAATTTCTCTAATAATTCCATAAGCAGGGAATAAATTATCTGCGTGCTGATTTATGCCTATCACAGCATTTACTCTGAACTCAACCCCATTAAATATTGCAGTTTTTGGTATGAACACGTGTTGTACTGTTGGATCCAGAAGAAGTGAACTTAGACATTCATTACGACCAACGAGTTTTCTTGATGTGAAATTCAACTTGTCACAGAATGGGTTGTCCAATATATTCAAGGTCATTTTAACACATTGCCTTTTGGCCAAACTATGATAAATATTTTTGAAATTTTTGCATGTAGAAGCTTGGTTTTTGACGACTTTGTTGGTTTGTTCAAACTGCAGACAGTTATATTGCTTCATGGATCCACTTTTTTGAATGCAAAGGGCGTAATGTTTGAGGTGATGTAATTTATTTATGTGACGGTCGAAAGTTGAGTAGAATGTTTGTTCGAAATAATGCAGGTCCTCTTCTAATTGGTAAATTAGATGTTGGGAAACGGCTGGTGACATTATAATTTTTACGATGTTGATAAGATGACCGATCATAACCATCAACTCGCAATCCGGTGGTACCTTGTGCCCAAACAGAAATGAGAAAGATCGCAGTAACAAAAATGTTTGTGTTGATGTTTGCTTCAGTTTGTGAATGTTCGGATGTACTAGCATTTCATGTGTGAAATTTGCTGAAGGCTTGTTGTGGCGATCAGTATAGCCATAGGTAAAGGTGTTTATGCGATTGTTGATAAATGGTACATCAATTTTCAAATGTTTCTGCTTGTAATAGTGTGACAATACTAGTTGTATTGTTAACGGAACAACCCCTTCTGCAAGATCGTGCATTCCATCGAGATTAAAGTTGTCCGATATATGATAGTTCTGTAGTTCATTTAGGATACACCCTGATGCTTTCAATCCGCAATCCTTCGGAGCAATCCATCCTTTTTTAACAGCATCAAGTTTTTCGTCGTACCATTCTCTAGTTCGCAGAGCAAATTCGCCAGATGGGTTGTTATGGAACACATCTCTGGAAATTTGACAAATTCTACAGAAGTAGTTGGCACTTGGTCCTAGGAGTCCAAATACGTCATGTGCTGCAAGAGTGTCTCCACAAAACATTGTAACTACAGATTTTAATAAAAAAAATCGTTACCATAGTAGACCGTAACACCCTCTTCCAGTTTTCTCAGATCAGCAATGTATTTTCTGAAATCCTTGTTTTTTTAACGCCAATCGAATTACAAAAAAGCAACGGGAATACTGTTTTCGGAGAGCTGTTCCACTTTTCAGGAAAATTCAGAATTTTAAAATTGAAATTGCATACTTTATTTATGCCAGCTCGTGAACTAAAGGCATTACCTAATTCAACGTCATCCTGGTACAAACTAATGCGAATACAGTTGGGATTTTCCCGGAAGTACTCACTGTTTTTAAACAATTCGCCTGATTTAAATGAACTACACTCTTTGACGCATGGAGTGTCAGCTGCATCTGATTCTATAAAAAGTTTCCTATTGGAGAGATCTCGAAACAAAAACTTCAGCGTATCTATAATGCTTATGTAGGAGCCAGTTTCATTCACCAAAACTTTTTTGGGAAGTGAGTCAACGTGTCGAACATCTTGTCGGTGACTTAACAAAATATCACGAGGAATTGGAGCTGATACGCGATTTTTTCTTTTTTCCAAAAACTTGATTTGTTTTTGAAACGTGTTAACCTCGGAAAACAGATCAAGCTGAAATTTGTTTCTCAAATCGATGAGATCATTGTCGGGAACATGCACATTATGTGCATTCAAAAAGGCAAGCACTTGTGCCTCCAAGTACTCAGTTACATGTTGAACCGTTGTGTCGCATAATTTTATTACTTCTGCAATTTTCGTTTGAGGCAAACTAACGTCGCTTAACAATCGACAAACACTCAAACCAATTATCTTCCGGATTACCCCCAAATTTTTGTTTGATGTCGGATGGGAAGGAATAGCATATTGCTCCTGTTCAGTCGACTCCTCGAAAGTGTGATCCGGTTCATGGTTCTGCTCTAAATCGGTAGCTTCCCATGTAGTTGTAGCACTTTGCACTGGATGCTTTTCTATAATGTGCCTTTTGAGTGTGTAAAATTTAATAAATCGCGCATTACATTTCGAAAAAGTGCAATCGAAGAAAGTGTCTCCGAGGCGGAAGTGATTTTTCTTTAAATGATCGTTTATGTGACGATGAAAACCCGTCACATAACCGGGAACTTTGATCCGGCAGAAGAAAAAAAAAAAAACAGATTATCGGCAACTAAAACAAAACATAGAGTTTATAATACATATTTATCATACTTACGGAAAATACCGACGAGTTTCTCGTTGTTCTCCTGGAGTGCTTCCAAAATGTCATCCATATTATTCACTTTAAACGGACCACTTCACAAATTGTGTTCACAAACTGGCGCTCGCAATTGTCAATATGGCTGACAGCTGTATTTACAGAAGTTCGGTGAAAAACACAGTATTCGGTAAAAAATAGCTACGCCACCGAACTATCTGTAATTATTTCACTGATTTATGTAAACTTGTTTGGTTTCACCGATCTTTCTGTGGATTTAGGTCAAATTAGTGGAAAACATATTGATTTTACAAAAAAATCTGTAAATTTTTCGCTTACAGATCAATTTCGATAATTTTTTTTCACGAAATTCGGCGATCTATTCTTAGTGTGTAAGGATGTAAACAATGATTTGAGGCGTACTCAGAAACAGTGCGGTGTTGCCAGTTTTTTTAATAGCACATGCATTTCTGAATAGGATGCCCAACAGTCCCAATACTGGTGCCAGAGCTGTGCCAAACCTGTTTTTGGCACACTGTGTAGAGTGACCACCCCCTTGCGTGAGAATGTGAATTTCAAAAAAAGATTCCTGTTTCGACAGATCATCATCCAATATTTTCTGGATTGCTGTGTTATTCAATGTAAACTGATTTGGCTAGAATCAGTTCAATAATCCATTTCGCTGGAGCTTGATTCAGATTTTTGGTGTGAAGAAAAATCAAGCATTCTCGCGTCACTTTCCAATAGGTCTTACACGCAACCCAAAAATTTATTACAATGAATTTTAGTTCCATTTCCTATCATCCTCTGTTCATGAACATCCCAGCGAATGTTAGAAGTTGACCTTGCAGACGATGCAATCTTTTTTATTCCGTGTTCTGTATATGCTTTCACCTACACAGGCAAGCATTTTTTTCTTCGTATTTATGTATTTTTAAGTTTTGTATGTTTATGTATTAACATGTATTCAATTAATTATGAAATGTATTTTTCGTGTATAAAGTAATTCTGAGTATTTTTATTATGTATTTTAGTTTCAACCTGTACACTTTTACCTTTTTTTTGTGTATTTTCCGAAGTGCGTATTTACAATTCACCTCACCTCAGGCGCCGCGCAGAGTCATTTTGAGGTGGAGTCCCCAGATTTCCAGGCAACGTGTTATTTTGGAGCACCCTAACACACAGAGTGTAGCCTCTAGATCATATAGTGTCCAATGCTACTAAAAACTAAAGTGAAATTGTTATTTTTCTTCGCCTGATAGCCTTTCCATTCGGTCAAGATACGTTAAAATCAGAATGCAGAGCTATAACTCCTGTCATAAAGATTTTTCCCTCATTCCATCTGCTCGTTACATAACTGATAGATGTTCGTAGCTGCAACAAACGTTTCCAACAAATGACCATTTGCCTTGTTGTTTTATCTGTAGCCCATCAAGGACATTACTGCTGTCCTCGTCAGGAATCATCCTTTCCAAAAACGAAAATAAAACCAAACCACCATTGAACGCTTCAAGGCCTTTATTCGAACAATAGCGAAAAGAGGATTAGTAAAAAAAAATAGAGCACATTCACTGTCCGTTTTTTTTTTACAAAATTCATTTCCTTGAGTCAGCAGGATCGCACCAAAATCTAAATGCTCCTAGTAGGTATCCCACATTTTTTTTTCCAGCGCCCGGTCGTTATCCTGAATCCGCTTACCCGGAGAGATTTTTACGACCGCTTGGAATGTTTTTCTTGGTTCAATTTTCTTGGATCTTTTATGACCAACTGTTTTTTTTTTGGCTTTTGCAGACCCAATTGCTTGCGAAGGAGTCGAAAAAATTAGGAATCCTTTTTACTGTCGATTGTGACCAGTTTTAATGACTTTTGGGCGATTGGATTTGGTCATCGTTTTTCTCTGCAGTAGTAGACATGCATTTTATAAGTGCGATTTGATATCATGTTTTTTTTTCTGAACCTTGATCCCACTCTTATTTGATCAAGACATTTTAATTCAAAAGAGAATCTTCTTACATAATCTTAGCTCTAACGTCCAAAGCGCCGGAATCCCGTCGCCTATATTCCATTCCCCGGCAGATGCTCTTTCGCCACAATGTAACACACCCATTTACTCGTTTCGAATATCCTATCCACACTTACCATCGCTGGAAAACACTCCCTTTCACCCTGCTAGGCGTCCTGCGCGCGTAGACAAGCACGAGCACCCCGAG